TGATTATGTTAAAATAGCAGGTGATTTATTTACTGGGACTGTTATTATGAACAAAAATAAAATTACAGATCTTGGATATCCAAATACTGATAATGATGCTACAACAAAAAAATATGTTGACGATCAAGAATCAAAGTATGTGTCAGTCAATGGTGGTATGATGCGTGCATTTCTCAACATGAACCATAATTCCATTACTAACCTCAGAAAACCTGAGTCTGATTTTGATGCTGTAAACAAAATATACGTTGATGATCAGGACGTTCCAATCAATAATGAAAAAACAGCGCTCAAAACTGAGTTTCTTGGTCACGTGAATACGTTTTTAAGTTTTCGTAGAAACATAAACAAAACTAATAACGAATTTTTTGGAAATCCATCAAATGTTGACATTACACTCGCTAATATTAACACAAAACTCAATGATGTTATAAGTGGAATTCCTGATATTATTGAGAAAACGAGTATGATTAAAATTCCTCACAAGCAGATTAAAAATATTGTGTATACTGTTGATACTGGTTATACTGGGTGGACACCAAAAAATAATTCTATCAAATATATTGCAGAAGTTACAGGTGTGTGTAGATTGTCAGTGCTTAGCAGTGAAAAGTTTAGAATATCTACCAAATATCTATTTCGTCATCCAAACGATGACTCATCTGGAGTATTATCTGTAATAATAAACAAAAATTCTGAAGAAGAATTTATACTTGAACCAGTTGATAAAACTTTAAAATTAGCCATTTTTCTCTGGTGTTCGGAATTTATAGCTGAACAACCAGATCTTATTATGGATTAACCAAACATGGGACTATGTGAACTAATATTTTAATGAAAAAAGTATAGTTGATTTCAATCATATTTCAAAAGATATTCCAGTACAGGATGTGGACGCACTAATCCATACTACAAATATTATCATAAAAAACTTTGGTGCGTAAAAAAATGTTACAAATACACAACAAAATACTTCGAATAATATCATATCTACCTTTGTTAATGACCAGTTCTGGTATAATTTCAAGTGGGGTATCATTAAATCCGTTTTTGTGAATCATCTCTGGCATTGGTGTCTCTCTTTCAACAGCATGTAAAAAAGTTGAACCTAGACTCGCAACTAAAAAAAATAATTGCCAAGCGGCTAGTATCACCTATAAAAATTACTTGATCAAATACGATCTTACTTGCGTTGTATAAAATATAATATGGACGATTTAATACACGAGTTCCGTATTATTGATAGTATGTTAACAGATATTTTACCAATGAGGGTTAGCAAATATGAAAAATTATTATCAAAAGAAGTATGATATAATATAAAATTTTATCTAAACTTAATAATGTACTTACCTTTTCACAAATGCGTAGTTTAATTTTTGCCTGGGTGTTAACATGATCTCAGTATATCTGTTATCTGATGAAGCGCTCCCTCAAACTGCGTGATTAGACGTGTACCTGCCTTTGATACAGGCGTTTACGCATGCGTATTAGAGTATTTCATGTTCCAGAAACTTCCGATCACGTATGAGCATTACAGTATTTCCTTAGTCGAGAATATTCCTTCTAATCACGTGATCTCCGTATGACGTTTACAACATTACTAAACATTTTACTTGGCTCGGTCTCAATAGAATTATTAACATCTGATACATAACTTAGTTCTTCGCGCAATTATTGATTACGTTACCTAGGTATTTTGCAACAGGTGTTCTATAGCTTGGATCTTAGCGTGATTATTGATTAAATTACCTAGGTATTTTGTATAGTTATAGACTTTTGATTTTGTGTAGGGGTTGGGTTTTTAAGGTCTCTCATAGAGGTAATTTATATTTGTTTGAAGGATTGGAGGGTGTGAAAAAAAGATATTTGGGCTCACATCCTCCTTTTCCTTAAAAAAATACATCTGCCACTTGACCAGTTTTTGTGTAGTTAAAGAATATTTGACTTTGGATTTTGTGTAGGGGTTGGGTTTTTGAAACTTGACTATGCTCTATACGATGATATTGATTAGGTAGCAGATGTTATCAAGTAAGGTATACATGTTCTAGCTTGGCTGGTTCTATAGATGATATTAATTAGATAACTGATGTTACCAAGTAAGGTATACATGTTATGAGCTAGGATCTGCTTTATAATTGTATGTGTATATCATTGGGGGTGAGAGTTTAGGACAGAGAGAAGTGGTAATTTTGTATTTGTTTGGAGGTCTGGAGGGTGTGGGGAGAGGGTCGTTGAGCTGAAATCGGCCTTTCCTTATACTACTGTTGAATGGGTCAAACGATGAGGCATCATACTGCACTGTGCCTTTCATGTTGTCATGGAAGGACTGGACCATGCTTAACAGCTTTGGAGGGCATCCAATCTTCGTCAGAATTTTGAAGAGTCTGTCTCTGCTGACCAGATCGAATGCTTTGGTGATGTTTATAAAAGCCAGGAAGATGGGTCTGTGTTGTTCTCTGCACTTCTCCTGTAGTTGCCTGATGGAGAAGATCATGTTGATTGTGGACCTCTCTGCGCGGAAACCGCACTGAGACTCTGGATACACTCTGTCAGCAAGCGTCTGCAGTCTGTTCAGGATGACTCTAGCGAAGACTTTACCCACCATGGTGAGAACTAAGTGTACAGACCTTCCGGCACTCTAACACTCACCCTCTTTTTCCGAAGAATGCATATAGCGGGCTTTAGAAGTCAATCGTCTGAAATTATTGCATTTCACCTTGACAACATGTTACAGCAGCGGTTATTAAAGCTCAGGGTCATACGTAAACCAAGGAGTCTCACTAAAAATGGACACTATTTTGTTTTAGAAATGCGTAGAAAGTAACAACGACGTTACTATTATCACTATTTAAAGAATCGATCAATCTTTGGTAGCGAAGATACTGCTATGCATTCTATTGCAGTTAAGAGGCTAATGAAAGAAAACTTATAGGTACATAAACTGAATATTTTGTTGATTAAATATGCTGATCTGTTGTAAGAAAGGAAGTAAATTGGAATTATAAGGATTACATGTTCATGTTTGGGTAGTTAAACTTCAGCTTTAGTTACTTTGTGAGTGATTAGGTAAAATATACACATCGATAAATACGCAACCATGATCATATAATCCTCTATTATGTCTGTGCTCATTTTCAGTTTTCCTTTTATAATCTTGATTTCTTTTTCATGAACGTGATCAGTTCTATTGGGAAGTGACCTGATGTTGTCTCATCTTGCATATTTAATCCTTTTATTTTATCTCCAATTTACGATTTCATTATATATATATATATATATATATATATATATATATATATATATATATATATATATATATATATATTTGTGTGTGTGTGTGTGTTTTCTAAAAATGTCTTTTATCTTTAAATTGTACACGATTGGACCAATTATGTTTAATTTTTGTTTCTTGAAGACCTTTAGTCTTATCGTTATCCGCTATAATAGGATTTAGGTTACCTCTCATGATGAGCGTTTCTATTGTTTTTTATATTTTACAAAAGATGTCAAAGATGTTGTTTTTTTTCTTCAGATTGTATCGTGAGTGGTTATACATTTATGAAATCATATGACTGTTAATTTATATGGATTATTCTCTCCTTAAATATTTGGTTCTTTTGTACACATATCCAAGGCTCTATGTAGATTATTTCGGATAATATTGTCATGGACCCTCATCCACCTTTATCATTTCCCAAATTAAATATTACAATTGCTTTTAATGCATTTTTTATAAGCCTTATTTTTCTTGCAATGTGATCTTTCCCATTTACTTGAAGGAAGAACACGTGATATTTCTTATCGAAATATTTTCGGTTTGGATTGACCATCGTGGTCTTTTTTTCTGTCCTGTATTTTATTTTTACTGTTCTTCTACCTCCTCCTTTTCTTGTTTTTCCTTGTAGCTTAAATAAAGATGTAGTGTACTCCTTTCTTTTGAGGTCTGGATTATCCCATCAGATTCTGAAAGTTCCAATCTACTTTTTCTTTGCATCTGTACTGACTCTCACTTACTGTAGGAACTCTCTTATATTTAGCTGTTTCCCTTTTTTATTTACTTGGTTTATGTGGTCCTTTTTTTTGCTCTTGTTTAGTTGTGGCACTAGTACCGGATTTGTTTGACACTGATATGATTTTTGTTAATTAATTGGTAATTTATTCAATCCCCTATCTCTCTTCTAAATCCCGAATCTTTATGGATTCGTTCTCACAAGGATATATTTTTCTTTCTCGTTCAGGATTTAGAAAGGGTTGCTTACACTTGTAAGGTTCCATTCATGTTTTTTATGTTATTTACTTGTCTCAGCCTGATGAATTCTGATTTTGGATTTTTGTGTGCAAGAACTGGCGAGACACATTCCTCTTTGCCTCTAATCTGTAAGGGCATACTACAGTACCTATTTTATGCTGGTCTTGTTTATCCAAGACTCATCCTCTCATATACTTCTTTTTTCATGACTTCATTTTGGTTTGCCTCTTTCCTCGCTTGTACGTCCGATTTTTAGATGGATTACAATATTCTACATGCTATCACCAGCCTACAACATGTAGCGTGACTTAGAGATATTGAATTGCATTAACCGTAAACGTGAATTCTTTCATAATACTGTGTCAAACTATGTGCTTTCTAATGGCAGTATGTAAATAGCCTTCTGAAATTGTATAATATTGAATTGTTTGTGTACTGTCGGCTTATATCGATCTGTCTGCGAGCTCGAAGAAACACAACCCCCAAACACGAAACCCTTGAGAAATTATGCATCCACGTGTGTATATCCGCTTGTACAAGGATCCCCAGTGAGGGAAAGTCATGGGGAATCCCACGGAAATTAGTATAAAAAAATCACAATGTCCAATTTTCACACTACTCAAGCACACTACTGCTCCAGTGGCCTCAGGCCCGGCCCTACGATGTGCGGGGCCCAAAGCAGAACTATTGCATTGCGGATAAACGCGGAGCCCAAGGTGGTTGCCTCGTTCGTCTTGCCCTAGGGCCAGGTCTGGATGGCATAGAGGTTAGAGCATCCTCCTCGGATGCGGGAGGCCGCTGGTTCGAATATCGGCTGAGTCATACCAGAGACTTGTATAAATGGTACAGATAGCTAGCTCGCCTGGCGCTCAGCATTAAGAAGTTAGTGTTAGGGCTGGGCGGCCTGGTGACAGGATGATGTGACTCGGGCATATAGTCTAATACATAAAACTAGAGGTAACACAAAACATACCGTGTTCTCTTGAAATTACCAGACTATTCTCAATCTGCCCACACTGGATATCTGATTCTTATCAGACTGGAGATTAGCCGCAAATTTTAGTAAGAGGAACAGCTTATTGATTTAACATTTGATCTGACCACCGATGTAATTGCTCCAGTAATATTTTGAAGCCGTGTGGATAGCCAGGCTAATTCAGGAGCATTACTGTGGAATGCGTGTACATCAAAGTGACTCCTGACAAGGCAAGGGAAGCATTAACAAGTCACGTGTATGAACGACACGTGAATTATTATCCACGTGTACATTTATAGATTACTCCTACATTTTGCAACAAAGCTGATTTGAAGAAAGATAAGCACATAACAACAAAATAAACGCTACGCCCAATGAGCATTACCCATTTTCATTTCTAATTAAAACTGGATCTACTTGTGGCCAGTAAATCTAACAGGTACACATGAATGTTCGTATTTTGGCGATTTGTGGAATTTCTGGTTGGCTTATTGTTAGTATCATGTTAACTGTCATAAAAAGGCGCATTTCGCGCGCGCGCGTGTTAGAGAAAGCGATCATTAGAAACTTTTATGCCAAGTGACGTTTTTGACCTCAATAGATATGAAAGCTTAAATTTGATATTATTAAATCAAACACGATCAGCAGAACATAATATCGAATCAGACTGTATCTTCCCGCATGCTCGCTGATATAAACGTTCCCCCATTGAGAGTAACAAACTATCTGAATTTTAATAGACCATTGGCTCAAATGTCTGTTGTTACTTGGCGTCTGTATATGTTATGACCGGTTGATGTTGGTTCGGTTAAACTTTAACAAAATTAAATATTTATAGAGCTGATTTATTAAAATATCACCATAACCAACTTTCAGACTCAAACGTCATTGGAAGAAAATGCTTTTTATTAAGATAAATTATTATTTTCCTTCATGTAGGGTTTACAGGGCCGGTTCAGGTCCAGTGTTGGAAAGGGGTGTCCAAAAACTTGAAAACAGCCCTTAGTTTCTTCAAAGGACAACAGAGCAAAAGTTTGTCTATTTACTCAAAGCGTTTGTAATACCCAATAAACGTCCACAAGAATAAAACGATAGTCAAATTTCGCGTGACAAGTGACCTCGCCTGCTTACCCCCTCATTTGGCCCTGGTTTATGCTTAAATCTGTCAACAGTTAACGTGAAAATCATTGCAAATCAAGAGACACTGTGCTATGTATATTTATTTTGTATTTTGTTAGGTTTTTTTTCTTCATGATTAAATGTCATGTTTTTTGTACTTGATCTTGCCCAAAATCAAGTTCATGTTATACCTGTCTAAAGACACTGGTGTTTTTGTTTTGAAAACAAATAATACATCGTTAATATTTTCTCTAAAAGTGTGGTTTAAATATTAGGATCATTATCAATTCTAGTAATCATTTATTTGAGTCTAGTTCTAGGACATTGATACACCCATACAAATATATAGCCTACCTGATGTGTACCACATTGTTACGAATAACATGAAATATTCTGGAATGGAAAATTCCATTAAGTTACAGTATTTTCAAAAAATGCTAATTATGACCTAGGTAGTGTAAAGCGTTATATAATCCAGTTTGCTTAGAAATAAACAATTCTTACTTGAACAATTTTTAGGTAGAATCAGCCGTATTGTTAAGCGAAGTTTTTCTTTTGGGTGGAATTGTTTATTCAAATTAGTATTCAGTGGGGATATATAGTGTTCATCAATAATATTCTTGAACTGAAATATTCATTTGGAATTATAGTGAATTCAGACAAGGGTATCTTGGATTAAATTATTGTAATTAATTGAAAGGCTGTTCGTATATAACCACATTGTGATGTGTCGAATTTTGAAAACTCTTAGAAGCATTGGTTAAATGAATTGTATCAAAGTCAACTTAATTAAAGTAAAAAGGGCTAGAGATAGATGATTACTTTCATTTTATCTCTGAACGTCAAAAGAAAATTCGTTCCACGTGACGAAACTTGACTGAGTCATATGCTAAGGTACAAGGCAATGACATAAGACCCTTTTCCCAAAATCAACCGGTTATGGGGGGGGGATCTTGGCAATAAGTGATTGTTCAAAGGAACGTTAATTACGGCATGATTAGCTGTCTTGACAATCAAAAATTCTACGAAGAAGATTTAGGAAACAGTAGAGTCTGATTGGTTAATATGGATTTATGGGCGTAACTTTGTAAGGATTTAAATGTTTTCCTTTGGAGAAATTCTTCATTCTTCAATCTTTCTTGTGATAAGTAGGAGGTCGACTCCGGGAACGTGAAAGACGTATCTCGTGATTGCAGTAAAGCGTGAGAGTTTTCTCAGAAAGTAGACAAATTCTACATTTGAGGTTCGTTGGAAACAAATAAGAAACGGCAAAATGTACGCAATCTTAGTTTGCCGATTTTAATATATTATTTCATTTGTCGATTTACTTGCAAATGTATCGATGTTATGATGTATGTATGTATGAATACATTTTACATTGTTTTAGTGAAATGTTAGTCAGGACATTTTATTCTTTGATTTTCTAATTATCAATTCATTTGGAGAATTGACAAGGTTGCATGTAATTGAATGTTCGTTGAAAGAATTGACAAGATTGCATGTAATTGAATCTTTAATACATATGAGTGCTTGGGAATTTTCAAGAATTAAGCCTAATAAATGATGGGTAATGTTTCGTAGTCTTATGAACTAACTATGTCTAGTATGACATGTATTGAGTGTATATCCATATACTAGTTAGTAATATTTCATTGATCACGTAAACTATTTTAGAATAGTTAGATTTGAGGATCAAAGCCATATATAATTTAACACTACTAGATAGTTTAATGTAAGTAGTCAAGGGGTGTTAAATACGGGCACATATGTCTTAGCGAAGAGTGAAATTTAATGATCTCCACTAGCGTGACCCGAATTAAGGTTAAAACAGGCAATGGCCGTCTATGTAAACATAGGAATTAGTGAACGTGAATGCAACAGAATTGATGCCTTTTGTTTTCTGAGCCTAATTAATGTAAAAATATAGACATACTTGGAAATGTGACCTATTGTCTATTGCGAGACATTTTATTTATTAAAGGAAAGCAGCTTTCCTAAACTCTCCCGAGATTCTGGAACTCTCATGGTATTCCCTGAAAATTCCTGTACCAATTCCAAGAACCATATCATATTCTGAGCCGAAGTCTAGGTCCAGAGACGATTGTCAAATCGAGGTTCGACTGGCAAGAATCCAGGTCCAGACAACTAGACAAAGGTTGGCAGAGCAGGGACGAACGGAAGGTCAGGATAAGAAAGGTTATGATGTCGCTCATCGTTGCACTCAAAGGTCACATTTCGTAGGCAATGAAGAATTGAATTCTGTCACGGACCAATAATCGTAACAGTAAAGAAAATTTGCATTGTTTTTTTTATTTGAGTACATGTTAGTATATTTTTCCTTCTTTTGTAACCAAGTAATCTATTTCTTTTCATTTTAAATTCTGTTGTTAAACTGATTAAATTTTATATTTGTTCATTGAAGGAAGGCTCGTTGTGTTTATTTCTTTAATATAATTGTTCAGAGATCTGCATTCTTCTTTCTATCTATCCACACTGGGTAAATTACACCGCGGGAGGTCATTCCCTAGCAGAGAACCGTAGTGGAAGAGGTTGGTGTGTTGTGAACGCCGCCAATTTACCACACACATTTCAGTCGACTGGTAAATTATCACATTCGAGGCAATAGGCACATAAACGCCTTCAGCGTTGGATCTTATTTCTAACATCAATGGGATTTAATTAGAACTTTATTCATTAAGACTAGTGATAGAATGTTTGCAGCATTGGATGATTTAATTCGTAGTACATGTACTGTAAGTTCTTTTTAAATTTGGACTTTGTATTCTTGGGAAATAAATTGTTAAATTTTATAAAACTTGTTGCTTCGCTCGTTTTGTTACTTAGCGTAGGACAGTATAATTATAATACACTGTCATATCGATAGTATCCAGAATTTTGGGTGTGACCTATTAGATTATCTAGCTCATCTTGTTAGACCCTATCATCTCGGACTTTGATCCTTACTACTGGCAAGTGAGAGGAATAAAGACCCATCATTTACTTTTAGGTGGATGGGTTTTCTCTGGATTCAGAATAAGTTTTATTCTTTTCAATTTTTTTTTTCAAGTAATATAATAGTTCTTTTTTTCTAAAAATTCGAGAAAGAATGTTTTCTCAAGCTATTAGAGGGCTGTCATTAAAAAAGAATACCACTCATTCACCCTCAACCCACCCAAAAATTATTTATCCAATTAAACCGCACCACGCCATCACCTGCATTATCACTAGTAATTAAATACGAAATGCAAGTTTTATTGGACTTGGAAATCTGTAAGGAACAAGCAAGCGCTATGATCTCGCGCGCGGGGGGGTGTGTGTGTGTGTATGTGCGCCCGTGCGCATCTAACTGTATATATTTCCGAGAAGCATATAATAACTGTATTCTTTCATAACAGAGTAGAACAATTGTATTAGTTTCCTATCAGCATAGAGTAATATCATTGGGATTTGAAACTAAACAGAAAAAGCAAACCAATGGATGGAATTCCATCGTTGGCAAGAACAAAGTACCATGTGCTTCCCTGCCAATCTTCATTTGACAGAGATGTTGCAGTTACAACAAGAATTGCAATCGTTGAAGGATCGCAGAGATTTGTCAGAAGCGTTAAAATCGTGTTGTAGGAACTTGGTTGGATTAAAAAAATTTTGAGAATCCTTTCTTCCTGAGAAGAGAAAAGGAAGTCGAAGACAGAAGTTAAGGACGAACTGATCACCCCTGTTCAGACATTATCC